GGGAGGAGAGGTGAGCCGTGTCACTGACTCCATGTGGGTTTAGAGTTTTGTTAAATAAGTTAATCTAAGGTGAGTTTTGTTAAGTTTCACATATGATGGAGGTCACAGTAAATAAACTGCTCATCTCCTCCAAAATGTCTGTGGAGTCAGCTCAGTTACCACCTTCCTCGATGCTCCAGTCAGACTACTTCACAGATCCCAAAAATCTACCAAACGTGTGTTTATTCGAGTTGGATCCTCACCACAGCCTCCGCACCGTCTGCTGGACAGTCCGAGACGCCACTGCTGGAAACGGGTGCAGGCGGCGTGACGGGCAGCTCCACGGGAGCACCTTTAACACCTGTGAGCAGTATCCTGCAGGTCTCCACCCAATCACCACACTCCCTCTGACGACACCAATCACAGTTGACATTGCAAAACTATTACTGACCCCGCCCCAATGTTACAAGTGATAGTGCATGTGTGCCTGAGGTGTGTTTACCTGCAGCTTTTTGAACTCGTTCATGTCATTCTGAGCCTGAGCTGACAGCGTGTTCAGGTGAACCTGCTCCTCCAGGACCAGGCTGCACGAACTAACAACATTTTCAGATGAGTTTGATTTAAATGTAAAGTTACTTTAACGTTTAAAAGTGCGTAACCTGCTCGAGTTGGTTCGTGTGTTGTTATTTTAGATTTATTTTATCACAGTTACTGTAAAATAACTAATAAAATATTTACAACAGCTTCTGGTACCTGGTGATGTAGCTGGACAAGCGATCCAGCTTCTCAGCCAGCATCTGCGCATCCTCATCCAGAGTTTCCTGTGAAATTTCTGGAATGTACCGGTGGGGTTCTTCTTCTTGGTTTTCCTCCTCGCTGTGGTTGGGAACCACAAGGAGTAAGAGCTCCAACATCCACCGAGTCTGAGCCACGTGAACAGATCTGATCTGGTAGCAAAGAAAACATCCAGACTCAGATCGTCTCCTACAAACAGCCGCTGTGCCTGAGCACCGTATTCATGGGGCTCGTGTGTTAGTTCCAATTTAACACAAATACACTTAAAAGACAGCAGAATATGTAAATATGGTGTTACTGAGCATGCCCGGTACTCACTTCTTCATGGAGCCTAAAGTTCTCCCCCTCAGTGAAGTCCGACAGGTTGGTTACAAACGCCTGGATTTTGTCAAACAGCTTTTCTGCCTCTGCGCTGTTTTAACAAACACGCACAAAGAAGCATTTCAGAACCGCCGTAAACGACTACAAGTGTTTGAATTTCAGCACAAAAACACATCAGGTTGAATTTTTCTACAAGTTCAATTTGTTTCCCTCTCTGCCAAACTGCAAAAAGTCTGCAGATTTTTTTCATATAAGAATAAAAAAAATGCTCATTTTAAAATTCTGTTAATGTGTCTAATTCACTTTGAGAAAATGGGACTGTGTGTGAAACTGCCAGAGGTGTGGCCTCGAGTCATTAATTTTATGACTTTAAACTTGACTTGAAAAAATGTTCTAACACTGTGACTTGACTTGGACTTTTACACCGATGATCTGGGACTTGAACCGGTTTACTTGAAAAGACTTGATATTTCACCCCAAATATAAAATTTTACATGCATATTATATAGAAAGTGTGCATCATTTATTCACACCACACTCCGTACGTATGTGTGCGTGAGCTGTAGCACAGCCAATCAAATTAACCATATTTCTTTTAAAAAGAAAAAACAATGTTATTTTTTTGAGGTACATAAACTATGAAGTAGTCAACAAAAAACCGAAATGCAACATGCAAAACATGCAAGAAGAGAATCACAGACAGATGGAACAACTTC